ATATGGATTTAGGTGATCAACCTTGTAGATTTAGATATTAAGATAGACGGTTACCTTTTCCCGTTGCCATCGTTGTCGTGCACTATCTGTGGGAAATATTTCTTTCATCACGTATGATTTAATGACAGTAGTTTCTAGTAGGCCAAATGGTTGATCTGATTAAGTTGTTCGTTATGGATTAAAGTGGTCAATATCATAGAAGTAGGATATGTAGAGTAATCATATGGATTTAGGTGATCAACCTTGTAGATTTGTCAGGTGACAAGCTACTAACATACTTATGATTGGTTTGACAAATCATGGATGTCATGAGAATTTGGCCAAATTAGATAATGTCTTTGTTTGTTTGTCCCATTCAACAGGTTGGATTGACCAAATCTGTAGACTTTGATACACATTATGTGTTTGTACCTTTCTCTTTAAGATGAACAATTTCTTTGAACATGTTCCATTTTCGCATCACTGAAAATATCTGGATATTCTATATTCTCATTTACCATATGATTTCTTGGAAGAAAAGTTTCTGACTTTTTACCTTTTGCTTGGCGAAATTGCAAGAGGACTGGAATGTACTATCTCAATTAGTAATAAAAACTTCTGTATGCTAGACTTTTATGCTGTATTGATTATAAAATTGGCTGATTAATTGTTGAGACAGTAGCGTGAGGGTAAGGGTTGACCATTTTCCAATGTATTTTTGTTGCTAGACTATACTTTATTCTTAAAACAAAAAAAATCTTTTTTTATGGGCCCTCTTTTTAGAAAGGAGATATATTTTTGTCGCTTTTCATGTATAATTATGAACTTGTAGAAATCAAATAAATATAATTTCTAACATGGTGTCCAATATATCGTTTGACCTTATATGCTATTGAGGGATTTTCTCTATGACTGCTGCTGTCACATTATGTTGGCTGGTTTGGCCAACCTGATCTGATTGAAATTTCAATTGTCTGCAAATGCAACAGAAATGAGCCATTTTTTCTTTATTAATGATTCATTTCAATTGATTTTACAGGTTTGTTATTTGGATTTTTTTTATTATCGTCTTACCAGTTTGTTGAATCAAATGGTGATATTTTTTCCTGCCTGTAGCTGATCCTATATTTATCCTCAATGTTTGTCCTTGATTGCAGTTATTAGTTGAAAATGTCAGAACCAGAGGAGTACTGCTGCTTTATCGGCAGCCTTTCATGGTCGACAACTGATGGAGGTTTGAAGGATGCATTTCATAAATTTGGTCATCTTGTGGAGGCAAAGGTAACATTCTGTATAATTTTGCACTTTCTCTTTCTGGGTCATGTGAAATCTGTTTGTTTTCTCTCTTACTCTCCACATCACATTTTCTTTGCTAATTGGTTGCTCACTTAAAAATTTCATTAGCTATTGTAATGTTGTACAAACTTCTTTTTTCTTCCATTAATGAATAGTAATTATTTTGAAGGAAAATGGTTACTGTTTGGTCCTCTGTGATACAAGTCTTATTTTTTTGTTTTTTAAGTATAACATAGTCTCTTCGGTGAATGCTCTATAGTCAGGTGAAGGTTCACCTAATTATGTTGTTTGTGTTTCACTAAATACAGCAATGATCCGAACTGTTAATCAGCGATGAGCAATGAAGACAGTCGCTGGTGACTGTAGCATATTATTTTCATTGTTACTATGATATGGTGTTTTCTTTAGTTAATAGTACTAGATTTGTGTTCTAATCTCTAAGATGTAGGAATAAAAATTTATTTAGGTGTCTTTTCTACTTTTTTACCTCTGTTGTGTTCTTTCTTTGCGAGAATCTGGGTTGCCTTATTTTAATGCATGATAGTTTGTGGTGCAAGTTCAACAAATTATGTTACTAATGTGTAGATAGGTACAAGAGTAATCTTATACTGTTAATAAGTGACGATCAGTACAAAAGGAAGCATGCTGTGTTAGCAAGATGGTAATTCATGTTACTTGTTTTTACTCTGTTATGTTGTTTCTTTGCCAGGATGCGGTTTGCCTTACGTGAACGCCTGATAGTTTATGGTGCAAGTTTAAGAAATTATGTTACTAACATACACGAGTAATGTGATCAGTACCAAAGGACGTATGCCGTGTTAGCAAGATGTTATTTTTATAATCATCACCACGTTATATTACCTTGGATAATGGCACTTAGACTTTTGTTTTAATACTTAAGAAGTAGGTGTACTTTTTTATGGATTTTGAAAATCCTGAAGTTACACATTACATTGATTTCCGATGGGCTAAAAGTTTGATAGATATGGGTTGTCCTTTTGCTGGTGCTTACGAACTAGTGCTTAGTCTTTATATCTGCAATGTTCACTAGAATATTTCATTTGGAAATGCTCTTTGGTTATTGTGGCATCTTGCAACCTGCAGGTTGTCGTTGACAAGTTTTCTGGTCGTTCTCGTGGATTTGGCTTCGTCACTTTTGATGACAAGAATGCCATGGAAGATGCCATTGAAGCCATGAATGGAATGGATCTAGATGGACGATCTATTACTGTGGAAAGAGCACAGCCACAAGGTCCTGGTAGCAGGGATCGTGATGTGGGGCGTGACTTTGATCGAGATCGTGGCCGTGGCCGTGGCCGTGGTCGGGGATTTGGTGGTGGTGGACGAGGTTCAAACAGTGGTGACTGCTTTAAATGTGGCAATCCTGGTCACTTTGCTAGGGAATGCCCTTCTGGTGATGGTGCACGAGGGGATAGGTATGGCGGTAGGGAGGACAGATATGGGGGTAGTCGTGGCGGTAATAGCCGATATGGACCTGACAGGAATGGGGATCGTTTCACTAATCGGAACAGAGATGGGGGAAGCCGTGGGGGTCCTGGAGGTGATCGTTATAATCGTGAACGCTCTGGTCCATATGAACGCCCTAGTGGAGGTGGCAGTGGCTATAGATCTTGATCCTGTTGCTGCTGCTGTTACAGGTATGAATATACTGCACCATTACTTTGGTCTTTGGTGGTTTTGCAAAATAATTATTGGCTTTGATGTCATTATGCAGCCGTGGAGCTAGTATATCATTACAACTGATTTAGGAGGCAGTGGGCAATGTATTACTGGCTTTCATTATCGTCTCACTGTTCTCTGCTTTGGATCTGTCAGGCATGCTATTTCCATCGCTGCTTCAGGGCTTGGGAACCACTCATTCAGATGTTATGTTGCTTTGATACAGTGCCTGTTCTTGATGGAAAAACTACTGCTTTTTGGTACTTTAAGCTTTATGCATTTGACCGTGTTGGATTATATGGTTTGGTAAGATCTTTTATCGTGGTCTTGGATTTGGAATGTTGTTGATCTGATGATGCTGTCGGAGAACCTCTGATGAAATGATACACCCTCGTCAGTAAGATCTCTGATCTTCAGCGGGATCGAAGGGTGTCTCTTGGAAAATGATTGTTCTCACTTAAGAAATGCCTGAAATAAATATAAAGTAAGTGGTTGTTTTGTCTCTGATGACCGCAACTAGTTTGACCAATATTCTTTTCTCTGGAAAGGAAACCTGGTAAATTTCATTGTTTCTGCCGAAATTTTGAGTTATTCTGGCATCCTAAGTTCTCATACTTTGTTGAACTTTTGGCAGGTTCAATTTGGCCTTGTGATCATTCTCAATGAGTTTTGAGATACCTAGTATCTTGCATTGTTCTGATTATCTTATCCAGTAGTGTCTCCTGATTCCTGGATTGCCTGTCAGAGGTTTAAGTGCCTGAGTTGCTCTCCTAAATTATGATCCTTTTTGGGGTCTGATCTCTCCCTTTTAGGCCGTTTGGATGTAAAAAGAGAAGAAAAAAAAATTGCCTCTTGGACCCTGTGGGATGCATGTATTGGAGGTGTTACCAACTTAGTACTCTTTCAAAAGATATCTGCAGGTCTTATATATATATCTCATGTGCGGGTTTAAGTTCTTTCTTCACCCAAGATTGGAAAGATTCTATTTTATTTATCAGAAATTTATACCCAAACTGTTGGAGAAGATGCATTTCTGGAACTGATGTGTTCCAAGCAACGTGCACATTGGATGCTCCATCCACTCGCACATTTTTGTTTTCCAAGACTGTATCGTGCCTATGTGGTTCATTATTTTGTTGTCTGCACCTTATATGCGTCTCTGTCTGTCTGTGTATCACACGCTTATGTGGTTCGTTATTTGTGTTGTATGCTACACCTGATTTGTTTCTAAATTGCTGCCACTGGCAATTGAATTTCGTATGTAGTTATATCTTTTTAATCTCAATGGTTCTTTTCGAGGCACTTTCGTGATGCTACCTACCTACCGTTTGTCATTTCGAAGGTGTTCATTTGTTTCTGATAACCAATCTGTGTGCCATCGGAGATTAATCATCTATGTGCATGTTTTAAGTTCGTATGAATAAAAATAGTCTCACAAACCTTATGGTTTCCAGGCAGTCTGTTTGTAGCTCTTCAAGCCTTCTCCCACTGCAAATTAATTTCTATGATTCAAAACCAGTCTTCAAAAAAAATTTTTGATCAGTGCGGTTCGACTCGGAAGTGACCTTGGACCCTCAAATGTTGGAACCAATTCTCAAAAACTGCTGAAGCAGGGGTACATGCAGACACTTCTCTACCGTAGACGAGCGGCTAACGGGAGCCCACATCTACTGCCTTACATCGCCTCAATTGGTATACGGGAGGCTGCCATGGGAGAGACGGACGGTTGGTTGGATAGTATTTGGTGGCCGTTTGCCGCGCCTCGTGGGTGGGCAAAATGGTTGGATTCTGAACTGGGGGCCCACCCGCATATCCCCATTAGTTGCGACTCGATGATGGCCGCCTTTACACAGTCACTATCGAGAGCTGCAGGTTGGGTACGCAGCAATCCTCCGCCCAATGCCTTCTAACCGTCCCTGCCGTAGCAGCCTGACGGATGAGAGGTGAGTCGGTGAATGCAAGAGTCGTTCGCACGCCATCTTGCTCTTGTGCGTGTGTATATATATAGGAGCGTGTGGCAGTCGCTGACTCGTACAACACGGCAACTCCCTTACGTACATACATACACATACACAGCAGCGGCGCAGCTGTCGAGGCCATCAGCCGGCAACAATGGACCAGAGCTGCGCAGCTCAATCGGCGAGCAAGATCCGTGAGATCCGCAGAGAGCAGAGAGCTGATGGCCCGGCTGCCATCATGGCCATCGGAACCGCTAATCCTCCCAACGTCATCGACCAGGTCAACTTCGCCGACTTCTACTTCAGGATGACGAGCAGCGAAGACAAACAGGAGCTCAAAGAGAAGTTTAAGCTCATCTGTGTGACCTCCCTCCTCTTCTCGTTTCATCTCTCGTCTTCTCTTCTCTTCTTCGCCATTGTTCTTCTTTAAGCTAATATCATGTATGACATCTTTGTAACTGGTTTGAAGGCGATCGCACGACGGTGAAGAATCGGTACGCCCACCTGACCGAGGAAATCGTGGAACAGAACCCCAACCTGCGCAACCCCACGGCGCCATCCCTCGAGACTCGCCTGCGCATCATGATCGAGGCGGTACCCAATTTGGGGAAGGAAGCAGCCGCCAAAGCGCTCAAGGAATGGGGCCAGCCCAAGTCCATGATCACCCACCTCGTCTTCTGTTCCGGCGCTGGCGTCGACATGCCCGGCGCGGACTACCAGCTAGTCAAGCTCCTCGGCCTCTCGCCCTCCGTCAAGCGGGTCATGCTGTACCACCTCGGCTGCTACGGCGGCGGCACCGTGCTCCGCGTCGCCAAGGACCTCGCGGAGAACAATAGAGGCGCCCGTGTGTTGGTGGTCAACGTCGAGATCACCACCGTGAGCGCTTTCCGAGCCCCGGACGAGGCCCACCTCGATAGCCTCGTCGGCCAAGCTCTCTTCGGCGATGGCGCGGCAGCGTTGATCGTGGGGGCCGACCCGATCCAGGGCGTCGAGAAACCGATCTTCGAGATGGCAATAGCGACACAGACGCTGCTGCCGGAGAGCGAAGGCAAGATAGGAGGGCAGCTCAAGGAATCGGGCCTCGCCATCCACCTGCACCGGGACGTCCCCAAGATCATCTCCAAGAACATCGAGGACGCCCTAATGGACGCGTTCAAACAGTTGGGCATCTCGGACTGGAACTCCTTGTTCTGGGTGGCGCACCCCGGCGGTCCAGCCATCCTCAACCACGTGGAGACGAAGCTGAAGCTGGAGCCGAAGAAGCTGCAGGTGACGAGGCGCGTGCTGCGAGAGTTCGGGAACATGTCGAGCGCCACCGTGTTCTTCGTGCTGGACGAGACGAGGAAGCAGTCAGCGACGGAGGGGTGGGCGACGACCGGCCAGGGGCTGGAGTGGGGAGTGCTCTGCGGACTCGGACCGGGGATCACCGTGGAGACTGTGGTGCTCCGCAGCGTGCCTCTGTGACACCTCCTTCCTACCCCGGCGCTGTGGTGCGACTACACACATGATATGACGTGATGCCATGGGTATTATTCTCGTCTAAGTTTTTATGGTCAAAGAATAAAGGTCCACTTTGCGGGCCTCGTGGTCCCCTTAGCAGAAGTTTATTGTCCGCTGTGTACTATGTCACATAGCCCACATGATTATATTATTCGCGTGTACTGAATATTAAGGTTGTCAATTGTTTACTTGGGCTTGATCTTCTCGATGGTGTCAGAATGATCGCAAATAATTCAAGCGACAAAGTTGATCCATTTTCAGAATGCTATCATATACCAAGGTTTATTGTATCTGAGCTCGCTACTCCCTCACGTCTACATTCCTTAAGGAATCCGAAAAGACTCCTTGGGAATGTCATATACCAAGATTTCATTTTTTTCTTTCTTGGGGGATGTCATGATGACTAGACATGCTTACGTGATGCCATATTATAATCAAGCCGAATGGACATGCCTAAGTGGCACAACAATACCATCATGCTAGTTTGGGATTTAGGACCTATTAGATACCATGTGCCTATTCTTTTAACGTGTTTATTAAAAGAATGTTGGTAAATATTTCGTTTTTCGAAAAAAACAAAAAAAAATATTTTCAAAAAAGTATATATATATATATATATATATATATATATATATATATATATTATATTGGCCCTCTAAATTCTAGATATATTTATAATTAAATGCCCAAGCACAATATTCACGCTCTTATTTGCATCCGTGCACTAAATAAAAGTAACTTCTTCTCTAGTCTAAATGTCTAATCATCTCTGCTTATTAGCAAGCACCTGTTGGAGAGACCCACGGATCGCGATCCGTGTGCTTCCGCTAGACGGAATCCTAACCGTTGACTGCTAACCAATCCAACGGCGGCACCTAAGAGTTCGAACCCCTCGATTTCGGAATCCCGCCTTTTCCTCCCTATTTAAGACCCCGGCATGACACCGTGTTCCCGCACTTCGACGGCCACTTCTCGATCGCGAAACCCTAATTATTCCAAAGTCGTTGCGTCGCAATCGATGGCGAGGACGAAGCAGACCGCTCGGAAGTCGACCGGGGGGAAAGCCCCGAGAAAGCAGCTGGCGACGAAAGCGGCGCGGAAGTCGGCGCCGGCAACGGGCGGGGTGAAGAAGCCGCACCGGTTCCGGCCGGGAACGGTGGCGCTGCGGGAGATCCGCAAGTACCAGAAAAGCACGGAGCTGCTCATCCGCAAGCTGCCGTTCCAGCGGCTGGTGCGGGAGATTGCGCAGGACTTCAAGACGGATCTCCGGTTCCAGAGCTCCGCCGTGGCGGCACTTCAGGAGGCGGCGGAGGCGTACCTGGTGGGGCTCTTCGAGGACACCAACCTCTGCGCCATCCACGCCAAGCGGGTTACCATAATGCCCAAGGACATCCAGTTGGCTCGTCGGATCCGCGGGGAGAGGGCTTGATGGCCGGCCGAGTTGGTAAAGAACAATGGGAATGTGTCTTTGGCATGGGCGTTTTGTTATGCAAGTACCATATATATATATATATAGCCTTGTAACTGTGGGGTGGTATGGATTTGGACTTTGCTTTACTAAACAACACGATGGAAATGTTTCGGCTTATTGTTGCTGATTTCCCTGCACATTTTGATAGGTTAGGGATTTTGTTGAGATCAGATGGCACCAACACATGTAAAAGAAGTCAAGCTCACTCTGTATACAATGTCACGGAATATCTATTGCATGTCCCTACAGGTAATCATGCAATAGCAAATCGCCAGCTTCAATTTCTTCAGCTTATCCTAGAAATATTTTCGAACAAGGGAAAAGCTCAAATATCTTATTGCAAAGATTCAATCCATCCCAACATCTCAATGGGGAAGGAAAAACTTGACCAAAAGACACTGACTTGGAACGAAAAATGAGATTAATCAACACGATGAATTCAACAAAGGTGATCATCTGTTGCTTTGACCAAAGTTTGATTTAGGCAACAAAATCATAAGCTTAGTCAAACAGATGCTTCCATTTTGACCATATTTGGAAGAAGTTATGAAACCCGGCGCAGCCATTCTACCGCCGCAAGCTCTGCAGGATATATTGAGCATAGAGATCCCTGCGAGTATTCACCAACTGTAATTAGATTAACCTACCAATGTCTTGGTTGATCTATTACATAATTTATCAAGGTCTAAATTTTAGTGGGTCTCTTCTCTATGAGTTTTACCAAATATAGTAGTATTCCTGAGAAATATTAAGGGAAATGTGTTTTGACTATGAGAAACATGTTTGCTATATTTTCATCGGTATGTTATTTTTATCCAGCTTACATTGAGTGTTGTATGGCTTCACGAGCAGTACTTGCAGGCAAGAATTCATTGACTGCAACCTCTTTGTTCTCATTCTTCTTGTCTGAAGTGTGTTTATCAAGGATTATGGCATGTATTCCTACTTGGAAAAGAGAAAGCAAACTTACAAGAAGCTTAATAAAAATATGAAAAATATGGATTTGACAGGATACAGTCTTCAAAGAATCGCCGAATCTCAGCAAGTCGATGGGGAGACAGCTCATTAAGGTCATTGAAGTGACGATACTCGGGATCATCAGCACAAACTGCAATGATCTTATCATCTTTCTCCCCCTGAAATCCAGGCAAACCAGTTGTAGCACTTTACTTTGGAATAAAAAATATTCACACTTTAAATTCTATCTAAATCATCACCTGATCAATCATTGGCATAAGTCCAATGGCCCTGGCTCGTAAAAAGCATCCAGGAAGAACTGGTTCCTAATCAAATAAATGTTCACAGTAATATATTAAGCATCAGATTCAGCAGGAGTGATACAAAGTTGGCTATAAGCAGTAAGAGTTCAACCTGCATGAGGACCAAAACATCTATTGGGTCATTGTCTTCACAAAGTGTGCGAGGAATGAAACCATAGTTATGAGGGTAGACTACCGATGAGTACAAGACACGATCAACCTGTGAAATTTCGGGCGTTTGAATACTATAAGAAGAATGTTATCTTACAATAGAAGAATATATAAAAGAGACCACATTAGAATAAATCTTAGTAGATATTCTGGTAGGTTTCATATGTATTGAGGATTGTTCACGGAAGATAAACACACCTTAATCAGCCCTGTCTTCTTGTCAAGTTCATATTTGACTTTACTTCCTTTCGTTATCTCCACAACCTATGTTATATATTGAAGAACGTAAGAACAAACAGACAACAATAGATGAATAAAAACAATATGAAGTAAAAAACTGTAGTCAGTTAAAAGCTGAAAATCATGTCAATCATCCTTAATCAATCATTGAACAAGCCATACATATTACCGCAGCCTCAGAGAAAATTATGCTTGACATTTGTCATTTTTAGTATGACATCTCCCTGCCTATTGGTGCTGACACTCCACATCAAATTTTGCTTGTACTAATTGGTACTTCCAGTGCATATAATGCAATTTACTTAAACATCCGTTTGAACTTGTAGTGACAACTTTTTCCAAAGTTATGCAAATTGAAACCAAGTTAAGAACAGAGAGAATGTTACAGGGGTCAAGGAAAGCGAAGATTGGTTAACCAGTCTACCAGAACCCAAAGCTTTGGGCAACTGAATCACAGCGGCAGGCAACATCTAGCAGGCTGTGCTTAAACACAAAATTGACCACAACTAACTATGGATCTGCTAATGCTGATTCATAAGAGCTTGGCCTGCAGAACGAATTTTGCATGGTGGGATGAAGCCCCAAGCAATGTTTACAATTCCATATTGATGCCTGCGAAAATTGATCCATTGCCCATATGTCTGAAAAGTTAGCCAATTCTTCCAATACATCATTCTCCAATGGTACTGCATAGAACTACACCTTGCCATGCAATTCCCCTTCCCATCTTGCCAATCAAAGGAAAAAGAAACAAATTGCTATACTTATTGTGAACTTAATAAGAGAACCAATGACTAGATTTCACATCTTCAAATCAAACAAGTCAAATGCTAAAATACTGACTTTAGAAACATGTAGAGAATAGTGTGACGCAGTGTAACAATTCAAAGGATAAAAAGGATGAGAAAAAGAAAGAAACAAAGGATTTATTTGCATAAATCTCTCAATACAGATAGATATGCAAAATTTATTACTAGATGGAGAAATCAATGGCAGTATTTCTCCCTTTTAATCTCCTGATTCTTTTAGAGCCTTAGTCTGGCAAAATTGTCATTACTTCTCATCTGGTGGTCTTTGTGCTTTTCTAGCCCCTTTCCTACTGAAACTTATGTATGTTTGTTCTCCAAAGGTACAGAAAATTTACTGTATACTCCATCATGAAGCCTCATTTGATTAATGATAAGGATTCAAGCGCTCAATACTGGGCATCAAGTAAAACCATTATCTTTACGTCCCTGGCATTTGATTTTGTTTCATATCAACTTCCTATGTGGTATGAACTTAGAGAACACTTACAACATTGAAGACAGCAGGAGCACCAGGACCTGCACGAAATACAAGTATTTAGTCAAAAAAATTTATTTTGTTTAAATTTGAAGATGCAAATGTTACTTCTTTTTTTGCATAAGGTTCTAACCTATTTCAAGATCATGCCAGGGATGTGCAGCTACCGATCTCCTTGACAATGATGATAGGATCCTTTCATTCAGCTGTGGAGCTGGGTGATTGTCTGCAGATGCAGCCTCATTTTCTCCACTCATATTTCTATAGAGAAAAGCAGGTGACATGTTATTGCATTACAAGAGTTATGCCTTTTAAATATCATTTCTGAGCAACTAAAAGACGGAAACTCAGTGCACGATGTTCTGATCTCATCAATGTGGGTCGGGGCATGGTCACTTTACACAGCCCTACCCTGTCACCGAGGCTAAACAACTAAAAAACAAATATATGTAAGGCATTGTAGACTTTGAAAAGCTTTTGTGCTTACAAGTCTTTAATAAAACTTTTTAAGTTGGAAACAGAAGATGGACCAAACAAAGCTACAAAACTCAATACAAATTACCATTAAAAATCACTCACAACTGAGCCACCATAGATATGCAAACTTGTTAGATATGAGTAGCCAAATTGCAACTGGAAAGTGATCTTAGTATGCAGGTTCACTTTTGCAATTTTGACACTTTATAATTCCATCTTGCTAGATATACATTTTTCTTGCCGTAAGACTTCTACTATGCATTGTCAATTCAATATATAGTGGACATATGAATTGAAATTTGGTCACTTGAGGAAAACATATTTTCTTTTGGCATTTCTTCAATGACAATATTGGTTAAGAAACAAGTTGGAAATGGTCATGATATTAGATCCAATGTGCTAAGGATTATCTATAGTTTCTTTCAAAGGTGTCAAGTGAAACTTTAGACATTTTACATAAAGCATGTTACCACCTTGCTAGTATATTAACGTGCATATACGCTTGTTATCACCATACATATAGGCATAGATACAATAGTAATTGGTACAAATTGCATAAGCAACACGTCTATTCTATGATTAATCCTCTTAAGGCTATGTAGATGGTATCACCGTGTAAAAAGTACTCGTGGAGCGAATCCTTTACTTCGTGATGCTCGATCGACAAACGCGAATCAAGCTTGCCAACAATTGCAGAGTTAATTAAAGAAAATAAACCCCAAACCAACATAGTGGATTGTCCGTTCATCCGATCATTCTAAACAAGATTTCGAGTTGGATCTACAACGATCGCATGGCGATCATGCAAAACGTACCAGTTTTCTACCACAAAACACGAAATCATGCGCGCAAACGTCAAGATCAAGAACCGTCTCACGTCAAATCGAGCAAGTAAAAAGCCAGAAAAACGAGGATCTAAACAGAATACAAATGACAGAATAAATCGGGCAACGAAATCCGCATCAGATCACGTGAGAGAGAGCGACCTTTCTCCCCAGAAAGAAAATTGCAGGAGGATCAAGAGCGAGTAGAGGAGAAAGAATCCCGAGAAAGGTATCATCGCGAGGGCGTCGCTCTTACCTCGACCAATGACTCACTCGGACGCCAAGGTTTTGGGGAGGGAGACGGAGGACGGGGGAGAGATCGACGCCGGTGGAATGGGTTGCTCTGCGAGAGAGATTGATCCGAGTAGGAGGTATTTATAAGCTCCCGGACCGGGTTCGGCGCGGGGCTATTGACTTCCTCACCGCTACGACGATGGAAGAGAGCGGGAAGCCGCGTGTTCACGTCTGCGCGGTGAAGCAGGAAGAGGAAGAGGTATCGTCACTGCCGGTAAATGAAAGGTTGAGCTAAGCTGTCTCCTTGATGTCTGGTCGATGTATCGTCACTGCCGGTAAATGAAGAGGAAGAGGTATCGTCACTGCCGGTAAATGAAAGGTTGAGCTAAGCTGTCTCCTTGATGTCTGGTCAATAACATATATATATATATAAAATAAAATTTATGATTAAATATCTTCTTATATTTATTTTTTTTATCACTTTAAAATTTCAAAAATCAAACCTTTACTAGTATTACTTATCACATCGCTGTTTCTGTACGTTGGGCAGGCAATCTTCTCCGGCATCCATTCTCGTGTATGCGGTCCCATACACTAGAAGAGAGAGAGAGAGAGAGAGGTTTTGGAGGCAATGAATGCAAACAAACCAATGCACGATGACGGTGGAGCTTAAAAGATGGATTTGGATGGACGTGGTTCTTTGTGGGCACACATCTGTTTCTCGTTGATAGCACCAACTACATGAGTTGCCACCCAACTCCTCGTTATGACTTGCCTAATATTCCCGGCATATCTCATCCACAACATGGCTTTTTCCATGCCAAATGATACAAGTGCAGTACGGCTTGCATGTTAGGCTTAACAGCAGGGCCAACTAAACCCAAGTCAAGATCACATAAGCCTGGCAAAGCCAACTGGAACACACAGGCAAAAGATCAACCAATGAAGTGCAGAAGTCTTTCCCCAGATGACAACACCTACAATAGCTCAGAGATCAAGCGCAATTGTATAGACTAATTATGAATCTGCAGCTAAGATGTGCTGGTTGCTGTAAAAACATCAGGGACCAATCAACATATGAAATCTGGCCGACAAGAACATGGTTCGGGACTCTAGTATTGGTACAACCACAATAGAGCTGTCAGATGCACAACTGAAGACAGCTGATCCCACTAAAACTGGAGAGCTTTTGAAATATGAATAAGAATCCTTTAACCTGCTAAACATATTCATACGTGCCATGGACAGGCGACTACTGTGGATAATTTTCAGTTATGGTCACCGAAAAAGAGATGGTGCATCATCAATACATCCTTCATAAGGCTGTCATGCCGTCCTCAAAGGCGGAGAAACTAGTATGACTCCATCGCCTCGGACAAAAAGAAATGGAACGGTCCGCCTGGTGGTCTGTAAAAGAAAAAACTCATTAATTATCAGAGGGAATCGAACAGATCTGTAACTAACAACTTTGAGATTTAACTAAGCAGTTATATCAGAAGACGAATCTTTTAATTTGTCAAACTTGAAAATGTATGTTTTGAGAATAACAACAATAACTTGTAATGTCAAAACTATTTGGTGTCAACTACATAGACCTTTTTCAATCATTAATTTCCATACAAAATAATATCTATCAGTATCTTGATCTAATCATACAGAACATTACATATAATGGGGCAGAAGAAAAATGTTACCACTGTTAGTGATGGTAGAACAACATGATATTGTTGAAGAACAATCCTATAGGAAATAGATAGCCAAATTGTAAAGGTGTAATCACTTTGAAGAGATTGGAAATTCTGCTTGATCAATGTAGCTCAAAGGAACAAATAGTTAGAGTGATCCACCTTGTGATGTAACCGAATCAATATTTTTCCATTTTTTAAAATTGTTTCAAGGCAGTGAGCATGTACCTGACCGCCAAACCATCAAACAATCTGCCTGCTGCTTCCTATCTACTCCACAAAAGTTTACATGGTTTTAATGAGTGTAACCTTATTTTTCCTTTCTCCCATCCATAATTTCCACCTCATTCCTTTCAAGGGCTAAAGTGTTTCTCATGTATCATGTGCTTGTGTTCCAAGCATGCAATTCACACATGTGAATGGATGTGTTTGTGTGTGTGTGTGTGCGCGTGCGTGCACACAGAGAGAGAGAGAGAGAGAGAGAGAGAGAGAGAGAGGTAGCAATGGCCACCCTCAGGCTTTCATCAGGGGCTTCCCAAAAAGTTGATCTAGTGTCTGTTCTTGGTTGAGGAAGCAGCTCATCCACATCTAGTGCACCTCCAGCTCTGAAGGCCTGCTTCTGATGGTCTTGTTTATGCTGTTTGATCTAAAGAGATCAATAATGGACACTATACCACAAGCAACATTAATTTCAACCTTTGAAGGCAAATGATGGAGTTGCTGAGACACAGAATTCCTTCTTTAAGCAGATAACCAACAAAGTGGACCAAGGCAAACCACAATTTAGATTCAGTGTCCAGGCATACTTGCTCAAGGTAAGCAGCCTCATGAACACCTGGGCAAACCACAGTCCATCATCGGTGTCTAAGCACGCTTGCTCAATGCAAGTATTCCGACACACTTGCTGAATGTAAGTATTCCGACCATGTGAGAACCTCTTCATTGTTCCTCTGTCCCTATCTGAATCTTCTGGCCATACTGGTCCAGTACAAAAACTAGTGATTGCCTACCCCTGATATCATCCAAGGAACAAAAGGGTCTGAAACCATAAGAGCATTAGAAGCTTGAATGAAAGTTTAACCATCTCCCCCCTTGACCCTGCTTCTGCTGTCAAGGCCTCAAGATAGTCCTCTTCAATTCCAAATTATCTCACATCTGATGCTTTTTTAAGGTTTCTTTTCCTTTTTATGGGTTTTTTGCATTTGGCTTTGATTTAAAATAGTCTTGCAACTACTTGGGTACTTTATAAATTTTACTTCTTTTTAACCTTTGTTTAAACAATAAAATTACAAATTATATGGCATAATGGTTTCGTCTTCTTTTTCCAAAATCAATTAAGCTTGATCAGAATCAAATAAGTAAAAATTGCTAACTTTTCAACATAACATGCCATATCAGAATCAAAGCAACGTGCTTGGGCAACCTTGCCCATTGATATATCAGTGTTCAAAACAGAGATACAGGTACAAGCAGGAGTGACTTACCCGAACAATCTCTTCATAAGTCTCATCATCAATTTCTACGTTAGTTATTATCTCTTCAACATCCCCAAGTATCATATTTAAATGTTGATCATAAGCCTGAAATGAAAAGAAAACAAATGAGCACTTGCATTACTATTTACTACATTAAGAAGATATTTTGGATAGCATATTCAAGGCCATAATCCAACTATAGATTCATGGAAAGGTGGAAAAGTTACGTCAGACTGTAAGAATTTCTGTTGAATTAATAACCGTGTAAAACCCAAATTTAAGGCATCCATTAAGAAGTGATATTTGTCTTGAAAATCCAAATATTTACATTAAAGATTAACGGCGAGGATAAAACAAAGAGAAGATTTTGCACCTTTAAAGAGACAACAATATCAATTGGTCCATGACATCACTAGACTTTAAAACAGGTGTATTAAAAATACATACGACATCAATTATTTATATAGGTAAAACCATGAAATGTAGGGTATGGTCTATCAAAAAGGCAAAACCGATGGAGTCATTATAAGTAAGGATTTTGAAGAGAAAAAAAGAGAGGTCAAATTGATGTAATCAATAGGGTGGAGAACACAAACACAAATGAGTTGTGTGAAATAATAAGTTTTTTTCTGAATGATACATGATACCAAAATTATTACTTCTAGAATCTTCTTGTTCATCTATCTTAATTATGTGCTCAACTCTTCTCTTGATGTTGACAAAAACTTATACTGCATATATTCAATCATAGTCCTATATAGTCTAATACACTTATATTAGTCACTAGTTTGCAAGTTTTAAAAATTAGTCTCGATTGAACTATCATGGAAACAATTTTATTAGAAAATAGCATGTACTACACAAATTAATCTTGCTTATGTATTTGTAAGTTCATTTTGTACCTAAGTGAAATAATAAGAACTCAAAGCAGATCCTTGATGTACACATATAGACATCCGTTGTATCATCACCATGATATTCCTAGTCTATATTTGGTGAATTCCGAGATTTTATTTATACAAAATGTCCTGGTTCCCATGCATAATATTTTGAGCATATCAAAGGGCCCTCACATAACCATGGAGATTCAAAACCACAAACCTCAAGAAACTAGAAACTACAACTCCGTATCCTACTTTTTCGAGGACTTTCACTAGCACCAGTGGAAAAGCAGCCGAAGCAATTCTTTGCCATAAAAAAAACTTGCCTGGTGCTACCACCAACCAAGATGTGTAATCTCATCCCATGACTTCCAGTATGGTACTGGAATAAATATTCAGGAACCCTGACACTTATAAAAGACAGATCCTTTCGACGCTTCGCCTGCAACATGCAAGAGTCCAATTCGCATATGTAAACCCTAGATTACTCTACCCGTAACAAAATGGTAAAGAAATAGGGAGAAGAACAGCATTGATTGCAAACTAAAAGGGCAAACAACAGCCATGGGACATGATGTCGATCTGAAGCATAAAGCGAGAAAATTGATCGGATTATATATATATATATATATATATATATATATATATATATATATATATATATATATATATATATATATATATATATATATATATAGAGAGAGAGAGAGAGAGAGAGAGAGAGAGAGAG